TAAGCCACGGAACTCGACTTTGGGCCACAGCGGGAGCAGCGCTGCTCCGCCCAGCAAAACAGCCCTGGCAATCTCTAAAGTACGACTTAATGTGTCGGCCTCCGTTGGCGTCATAATAGGATGGCGCTTCGCACCTTCCTTCGACTCGACGTCGGCATACGCATTTCCCAACCTCCGAAATCGCTCCTCCGCCGACAAACCCTCCTCCTCCAGATCTTTGCGAGCAGCCACGTTGTGAAAACCCTCACAAAAGCTGCCAAAATGGTGGCGAGCGTGCATGACGAGGCCAGCGTACTGTCGGGCTGGGCCTATCGCCTCGGCTCCGCCAAGATTCTGTAACAGCACCACACTAGCGCAATCTGAGTAACACTGAGCAGGACCCTCCGTGTACAACGCAGTCCAGGCTAGGGCACCAAATTCGGCTCCCTGGGGGGTCTGAGGCCACGGAGCCCAGAGGGGGCCTTTAATAACCCCAAGCTTCTCCCCAGACTCCGAGACCATAACCACAGACCGCCCCGCCCTAGACAACTCCCTAACCTGATGCCTAGAGCAGGACCCATCCATGAAAAGGTGCCCCCAGACGCCGCCCCTGGGAAAAATGGAGGGAGGCGAACCTGGCCTGGCAGGATCAGGGAGCAGGTCAGTATGCCAGTCTACAGTGACGCCGTCGGGCGAGATAGCCGGCTTCGGAGCCCAGTCCCCAGGATGATTGAACGCACCATGAAGCCACAGAACTTTCCTCTCGGGGTCACTAACAGGCCCTTCAAGCGCCGATTTCTGGATCCACTTCGGCATGTACTCGTCCCGCTCGGCCTGCACGCACGGGCGCACCCAGAGGCGGTGAAACAGGGTGTCCTTAGCGCCGCAGCCCAGCGGGCACAAGCTGGAAATGGGGTAGCCTAAGTCGGCCGCATCGCCTGCAGTCCAGCAGGCATTGGTGGCCAGGGCACGGATCATACCCTTCTTATCCCCATGAATTTTCTTGGACGCAAGGAGCCTCTTTGGGACGTCCCAACAGAGACGGGCACCCGCCTGAAACTTATCCCCAGATTCCCGCTCAAGACTCCGGAAAAAAAAAAAAAAAAAAAAAAAAAAAAAAAAAAAAAAAAAAAAAAAAAAAAAAAAAAAAAAAAAAAAAAAAAAAAAAAAAAAAAAAAAAAACCTCCTTGCAAATAAGCTTCACCAGTTTGGGCGGCGACAAGGTGATAGAAATCTCGTGACCAAAATCGTCCACGATGGTAGTAAAATTGGGCATGGTCCAACCAAGCCTATACAACGACATTCGAAGTCCTGAGATAGGGCCCGAAACTTGGCCCAGGTCCAGTCATCTTTTTTGAAACCGAACTCCACCCAGTCCGAAGCTCGGCCCAACTCAGGGCCCACTCGAAGGCCCTCGTTTGACGGACCCACGCCTCCTTGGCCCAACGGATGATCGGGGCGCAGCTGGCCCTCCACGTAGGGCCCCCCTCTAAAAGACACAAAACGGCAAGGGACCTACCCTGGGCGGAGGGTTTGACACAGGACATGGCTAAGCGTCGAAGCGACAGCAGCTCACGGTCAGAAGCCCCATACAGATCCGAACCATACACCGCCCCAGCTAAGGGTCCAGCGGCGAAGATTTTGACAACCTTGCGCCCCAGAGTGGGGCCCAGTCTCCCGAGACACCGAGCTTTCCTGAGGGCCGCTGCCGCCCTCTGCTTAGCCTTGGAATACCTATTCCGTCCAGGAGCTCTGACCGCTCTGCCAGCCGTGAAATCCACACCTAAGTTGGTCACCCGAGTGCAATCTGGATCGCCAACTAAGTCCCCGAGCTCAGCCGAGAGCGCAGCAGAAATGTGCTTGCTGCTGGAGACCATGGCAACCTTGTCCATGGCCAGCTTGCACTTGAGACTCTTCGTGATCGCAGAGTGCAGAGCTCTAGCTCCTGAAACAAGAAGCTTCAACACACAGTTAGGCTTGCCTGTCGCGCTGAGGCTCAAATCGTCAACCTAAACGTCAAAATCAGGTCCCTCGGGATGGAATCGAAAGCTTCAAGGGCAAACGCCCTAATAAGACTCGTCGCGAAGGTACAACCCGCGACGATCCCTTCCAGGGCAAAAAAAGGGGCCGTCGACAATTCCCCCCAGGGTCATGAACCTCGCGCAGGAATAGGCGTGAATCGCGAGGCGCGCGATTCCCAAAGGGAACTGATGCTGCTTACACTTGGCCCAAAGAAAGCCCAAGTCAATGTGCTCGTAGTACTTACGCAAATCCCAAAAAATGACACGCTGACCTGACCTCTGACCGTCCCCGACTCAGCTCTGAAGGCTTGCCTCCAGACCACATCCCCCGCACCACGGTGGGCCCCCGCCGCCCAGTAATGACGGCAGTGCTGGATTTCCCAACGAGAAGCTTCGAAACGACGGCACCTGCCCCAGACACGGTACCAGCTTGGAAAAATCCCAATGGGTCGAAAGCCCCCGCAGGGCTTGGCCAGCAAGGCAACCAGCACCCAAGAGAGCTGGACAGGCAAGGACCCCGTGGCCTCCATGACCGAGAACCACAGAGACATAGCCATCAGAGCCTCGTCGGGGAGAAGGCTGAAATGACGGCAGTGAAAGCCGTCCAAGCTGACAGCAGAGGCAGGACGGTATTGCTTGGACATGCCCCTGATGACGTCGGGCTCGAGAGGGGGGGGGCATGGCAACAGCTCCTTACCGCAAAGACCCTGGCCAACACCTTCCCCCCAGATAGAAGTAAACTTGGCCGATTCAGCCTTGAGCAAGCTCATGGGATCTGACACCACAATGCCCGAGCGAGAAAGGGTAGCGGTGGGAGCCCAGGCCACAGGATCCCGAATAGCCCTCTGCGCATTACGCGACCCTTTCTCGAGCCCTTGACGCACCCATTCGTGCCAAGCCTTCCGAGAGGACTTGGCCGCGGATGCCGTCCTCCTCCTCCTCCTCCTCCTCCTCCTCTTTCTCCTCAGTCTACAATTGATTCAATGTTGCCGGCCGTAGTGCTATGAATCAGGGGGCCTTTTGGCACGCGAGGTGCTCAGCCCAACACCCGCCGTTCGCTGCCATGCCCTAATTGGACACACGGCGTATTATTATTCTTCTTCTTCTTCATCCCTGGGGGGCTGCGATCTGTAAAACTGTCGCCACTTTCGAGGCCTCCTGGGGGGCCCAGCACAATAACGCCACGCGCGGACCCAAATTCGACCTCGCCATCCCTGGGGGGCTGCGATCTGTGAAACTGTCGCCACTTTCGAGGCCTGCTGGGGGGCCCAGCACAGTGACGCCACGCGCGGAGGGGCTGCGCTCTGTGAAACTGTCGCCACTTTCGAAGTCTGCTGGGGGGCCCAGCACAGTGACGCCACGCGCGGACCCAAATTAGACCTCGCCATCCCTGGGGGGGCTGCGCTCTGTGAAACTGTCGCCACTTTCGAGGCCTGCTGGGGGGCCCAGCACAGTGACGCCACGCGCGGACCCAAATTAGACCTCGCCATCCCTGGGGAGCTGCGATCTGTGAAACTGTCGCCACTTTCGAGGCCTGCTGGGGGGCCCAGCACAGTAGTGACGCCACGCGCGGACCCAAATTAGACCTCGCCATCCCTGGGGGGCTGCGATCTGTGAAACTGTCGCCACTTTCGAGGCCTGCTGAGGGGGCCCAGCACAGTGACGCCACGGGCGGACCCAAATTAGACCTCGCCATCCCTGAGGGGCTGCGATCTGTGAAACTGTCGCCACTTTCGAGGGCTGCTGGCGGGTCCAGCGGAGTGATGCACCGCCCAGATTCAGATTTGACCTCACCATCCCTGGGGGACTGTGATCTGCGAAATTGTCGCCACTTTCGAGGGCTGCTGGTGGGTCCAGCGGAGTGAGGCACCTCGCGGAATCTCATCTCAGCAAGACCTCCCACGGCCTCGGGGGGGCTGCGATCTGCGAAACTTTTCCGGCCACTTTCGAGGGCTGCTGGTGTGGCCAGCGGAATGCACCCGGCGCGGATCGGATGCAAGACGCTTCCCTAGCCGTGGTCTCCTGGGGGGCTGCGATCTGCGAAACTGTCGGCACTTTCGAGGGCTGCTGGTGGGTCCAGCGGAGTGAGGCACCACGCAGATTCAGATTAGACCTCGCCATCCCTGGGGGGCTGCGATCTGTGAAACTGTCGCCAATTTCGAGGGCTGCTGGGGGGTCCCGCGGAATGAAGCGGCCGCGCCGATCTGAGCAAGACCTCCGCCGTGCCTGGGGGGGCTGGCGATCTGCGAAACTGTCGTCTACTTTCAATGGCTGGTGGCGGGTCCAGCGGAGTGAGGCACCACGCAGATCTGAGCGGGACCTCGCAATCCTTGAAGAGCTGCGAGCCTCACGAATGCCGCTCGCAGAAATATATGAGCCCATGTCACGTCATCACTTCCGTATAACGTCGCCCAAGTTACTCATGCCCCGCATTGCGCAGGGGTTGAGTACGTCGCCAGGGTAATTGAACATTCCCCCTGTAGAGGGACACGCCCGACTACACTCGGTCGATGGCGGGGGGGAGCGACGGTAAGTGGCCACGGGGAAGGGGGGGGAATCGAGAGGGACCGCAGGGGAAGAGGACGGGAGCGGTGGGCAGGGGACGGGGCAACGGGGGGGGGGACAGGGCGTGAGGCGAGGAGAGGGCGGGCGGCGGAGAAGAAGAGGCGGAGGCCCAGACAGGTGCAACGGGGAAGAAGCGGGGAAGAAGCGGGGAAGGGGGAGGTCCAGGCAGGTGCAGCGGCAGGGGGAGACGGCCCAGACAGGTGCGGCAGGGGGCGAGCGGCGGGCAGGAAGCGGAAGGGGGGAGGAGGCCCAGGCCCAGACAGGTGCAGCAGCGAACGGCCCGGGGCAAGCCCAGGGAGTGGGGTCCATTCGCGAGGCCGTTGCCCCGCCCTCCTCCTCTTCCTCCTCCTCCTCCCCTTCCTCCTCCTCCTCCTCCTCCTCCTCCTCCTCCTCCTCCTCCTCCTCCTCCTCCTCCTCCTCCTCCTCCTCCAGGTTGACGGCTGGACGGCTGGGGCCGTCTATGGCTTGAGGCAACTCCTTCACAACTCTCCGCATCTGCGGCGGCTCTTCAAACAACTGCCTCGTGCCTGGGCACAAGATGGCCCTTCTGGTCGACGAGCTGCGACGCGTGGTTTGCCGCGTTCACCTGGGCGGGCTTGACCTCCTCCGCGATGGTTGTGGCCGGCTTGCCAGTCCTGCCGATGGCGTCAACCACGAGCTTCACCTGGTAGTCCGCGTCGCGGTGGTGCGCTGCGCAAGCAGCATGCGCCTGAGTTCCGAGATCGCCACGCAGACGTCGTTGGTGTCCTGCTCGGCGGCGCGCTGCACGAAATACTGCGCCCAGAGGAACAGCAATCTCCACCGCCGCGGGACAGCGTGGGCGTCCTTCGCCCTTGGCCATAGCCCCTTCCTGGCGACCTCGAAGCACGAAGCGCCAGCACCAGTGCCCTGAGCACAAACGGCAGTATGCATGGCCAGCTGCGATGCGTGCGCCGCACTGCCATGGCATATCTGGATGGTGCGAGCTCGACTCCGCTGGATTGCATGTGTTTTGATGTTACCCTCGCCGACGATGCCGCGATTATCTACCAAGAGCGCAGCATTTTTTGAACTGCCTTATTGCGAGGGCCCACGCGTACGGACTAGAACCCAATTGGGCGAAGACCGTGCATTTACGAGTCGGACATACTCGGACATCGTCGCTCCAAATGGGGCCCCAGTGAAGACTGTCACGTCTGCAGTCTACCTTTGGGGTCTCTTGGGCGCAGGTGGCGGCACTGGCGCAGCCGTAGCCAGATGAATCGGAGAGGCGAGGGCTGCCTCCCACACTTTGGAACCAGTATGGCGGCACGCCGACATCCAGCGGACACGCAAGCTGCTGTTATTCCGAGCCTGCATCATGAGCAAACTGACCTACGGCATTCCACGCGCAACGCCTCCGCCAAGTATTGGGCATGCCTCGCTCCATGGTGTCGTGGGTCACGAACGCGAGCACGAGAAATGCCACAGAGCCAAAGTTATATTCCGGCAGTTGTTGTTTTTTTGGCAGCATCGCGGCCATGCCTGATTCGCTTCTCAGACGCACGATTCTTAGCATTAGGTCGGGCGTGTCCCCCTACAGGCTGATTTTAAACGAAAAATATAACATATTATCAAAAATGCTCAAGCATTGTCAAAAAATGCTAGAAAAGTCGTCCCCAGGCAATTTTTGACTACTCCTCCTGTAGAGGGACAAGCCCGACTGAATCTTAGCACAGGAACTGTCGAGCCCGCCGGCCCACAAGCACCGAGGCGGAGAGGCCAACCCCGGCTGGCGTGGGGCTCGGTGGTCAGAGCAGACGCCCCTTCGGCGATCGCGGGCTTCCCCCCGCCCCCGCCGCTCTTCCCTCTGACCACCTACCAGACCACCCCAACCCAACCCGACGACCCGAATTTCGGGTTGGGGGGGGAGGTACGGGCTTCATATGTATTTTCATGTGTTTTCTCAATGTTCTCCGACACCCCCCCCCACTGGAAATGGAGGGCAAATCGGGGCCTTCGGTTGGGTTGGGGTGGTTTGGTGGGCGGTGACCCTCTCCCTGCCCCTGCCCCTCAGGAGAACGATCTGTCACAATTTCTCATTCCTGCGCGCCATTGCCCGCGCGCGTGGGAGACTGCCGGCAGCCAGGGAAGTAAGTCCCTTCCCTTTGATCCCTCCCCCGCCGGGGGGGGGGCGTCCCCGAGGGTTTCCCGGGGAGGGGGGGGGTCTGGGTCAGATGCAACTCCCCTCGGGGGACTCGGGGGGTCCCCGGGCACCAAAAACGCCCCAAGACGGGCCAAGAGTGCCCCACGAGGCCCCCAAGACGGTCCAAGAAGGCTCCGAATCGCCGAACGATCTGTCCAAGACGCCTTGACAGCCCCCAGACGGCCCAAGAGCCCAGCAAGACCCCCTAAGAGGCCTGCATGAAAACACACCCAAAAGGGCCCCAAGCCCAAGACGAAAAATCATTGATTTCCCACTGGTTTTTCTGAAGCATTTCGGCGTTCTCGCTCATTTCGTTTCCTTACGCTCCAGGACAGCCCAAGAGGCCCCCCGGATCGCCCCAAGACGGCCCGAGAGGGCTCCAGGAGGGACCCGAAACGGCCTTCGAAGGCCCCAAGACGGTTCAAGACGCCTCCAAGACGGCTCCAAGAGGGTGCCCAGACGAGGGACCAGAACGGATATTTCGAGCCCTCGGCCCCGAGAGGCTCCCAGGAGGAACCAAGAGGCCCCCAAGAGACCCCCAAGCGGCCCCAAGAGGCCCCAAGAGGCCCCCAGGAATCCCCGAGAGGCCCCCAAGAGGCTCCCAAGAGGCCCCCAGGATGCTCCCAAGAGGCTCCTAAACTGTCCCCCAGAGGCCTCCGAAAGCGCTTCGAAGAGATCCCAAAAAGCATCCATGATGATTCTGACCCACGTCAGCGTCGTCGTCGTCGCCGCCGCCGCCGTGGTCGTCGCTCCCCTTTAGGGTCGGCGGCACTGGCCGTAAAGCCTTCGCAATAAGGTGGCCCAGACGGCAAGACGGCACTCTGATCACGCCTTTGTCAAACGGCTTGCCTGAACCAAGACGGCCCGGGCCAACATGGCTACGGTCCCTTCTCTTCCTCCTCTCTACTTCTGGCCCCCGATCTCCAGCTCTTCCCTGTCGCTCATTATCCACCCTCATCTTCTCTCCGCCTTCTGAACCTTTAGGGAAGACGACGTAGAAAAGGTTATGTTCCCTCTACCAATGCTCCCCCCTCCACCTGTATCTCTTCCCGAGGTCCCCAGTCGTCTCTCCAGAGGTCTCTGGAACTCCCCGGCGCCCCGGAAGCTGCCAGAGGTCGTAGCGGGCCTCCGGAGGCCTGCGGAGGCAACCAAAAAACATTGTAAGAACATCCCCAACAATGAAGCCCGATCCCCGAAGCTCCTTGTCACCCCCTTTTTCTTCCTCCTCCTCCTCCTCCTCCCCCTCCTCCTCCCCCTTCTCCTCCCCCTCCTCCCCCTATTCCTCCTCCTCTTCGGTCCTGACCCACAAATCGCAGGCCGTTGCCCTCCACGGCGCGCCCAAGCCTGCTGTCGGAGAGGGGCCTGCGGCATGGCGGCGGGAGGTCGGGTCCAGCGTGCCGTTCAGCAGGCGCTCGAAGTGGCCCTGCTTGAGCAGGAGCTGCGAGCCTCGGCGGCAGGGAGGGCCCAGGGCAGGGCCCGGAGGCCCAGTCCACGACCGCGGCGGGCCGGGGCCGCCCCCCCCCCCCACGTGTGCCGACCTGCCAGAACCCATGGCAGGATGCGCGGCTTCGAAAGGGGGAGGAGGGGGAGGAAACGAAGGAAGAGAAGGGCACGGCGGAGAGTGAAGAGGGGGAGGGAGACATGACATGATAACGGGGACGACGATGATTATGATGATGGCGATGATGATAGTAATGAGTTTGATGGTGATGATGCCGAAGGTCAATAGTATGATGATGATGCTGCTGCTGCTGATGATGATGATGATGAAGGTGCTGTTTTCTGCAAGCGGACAGGTGATGGCACCCATGACAACCGATGATCAGTGAACCTGGACGCATCTACATAAAACTCCTCCACACTCCACTATGCGATTTCCAGCATCTAAAAGGGAATGCTAGCTGCTCAGAAGCTACGCGCGTGACCAGCAACGTCCACTCTCGAAGGCACATCGGCCAAAGGGAGAGAAAAAGAGAGGGAGAGAAAGAGAGAGAGAGAGAGAGAGAGAAAAAACAAAAAAACAGCGCTGCGGGCTTAGAACGTCGTCGGGGACCTGCGGCGCGCAGACAGAGGACAAACAACAAGGGGACGACTCCTACCCCAGCGCCTCGGGTGCCAGGTTCCGCCACGGCATGGCGACGAGGGCAGCCAGAGTGGCGACGAGAGAGGACGCGACTGTAGCGACAACAGCACAAGGACCTGCACTCGAAGATGGCGGCAAGCCGCCGTAGGGACGCAAGAGAGCAGCGTGGAAAGAAACACGCAAAGACAGGGCGAGCGATCAACATCGGAAGCCTGCGACGCGAAGGCATCTCGCCACAGGCGGAGCGACGACCGTCGCAGATCCTGCAAGCTTCTGGTCAACCACTGGTGGATCCCAATGGACACCACTGGACCGCAAGGAGATCAAGTGCCACGGCAATCTGACGGAAAAGAGGCCAAGAATGAACACTGCACGGGATAGGAAGGCCACGGCCGCCTGAGATCGGATCTTCGGGGATTCCAATGGGCATCGGCGGCGCAACGTACCAATGCAGGGAAATAGTCCGAGACATTTCCCATCAGCGTAGCTTCGCCAATCGCCGCGTGGAAGATCGAGCAATCAAGGAGCACAGCTGTCGGATTAACAACATTCAGACGATCAAAACGGCTCGCATGGAGCCACTCCCATCCTTGCGTCTTCCGTCGGTCTGGATCGGGCTGGCGGATGACGGGAAGCGCCTCCGGCGTGCACCGTTGGTTCAGGGGCTTAATTTTCTCTAACTAAGGGGTGCCGATTCCATCCCGCACCTCGCTGGCGGATGACGGGAAGCGCCTCCGGCGTGCACCGTTGGTTCTGGGGCTCAATGACGGGAAGCGTCTTCGAGGTACGAGAAGCAAGCGGGACGTTCTGGCTGAATCCTTGAGTAAATATATATATATATATATATATATATCTTTATATCTATGGGTTGCGCGGGCGCACGGGATGACGGGAAGCGTCTTCGAGGTACGAGAAGCAAGCGGGACTTTCTGGCTGATCCTTGAGGTAAATATAGATATATATATATATATTATTTATATCTATGGTTGCGGGTGTTGCACGGGGGTTTTCCTTGGCGGATGACGGGAAGCGTCTTCGAGGTACGAGAAGCAAGCGGGACGTTCTGGCTGAATCCTTGAGTAAATATATATATATATATATATATATATATATATCTATTTTTTGTTTTTTGAAAGGGAAATTCTTTAATATCTATTGGGTTGCGGTGGGGGGTGGGGGTGGGGGGTGGGGGGGGGGGAGGGGGGGGGGGGGGGGGGGGGGGGGGGGGGGGGGGGGAGGGGGGGGGGGGAGGGGGGGGGGGGGGGGGGGGGGGGGGGGGGGGGGGGGGGGGGGGGGGGGGGGGGGGGGGGGGGGGGGGGGAGGGGGGGGGGGGGGGGGGGGGGGGGGGGGGGGGGGGGGGGGGGGGGAGGGGGGGGGGGGATCTATGGGTTGCGCGATTGCACGGGGGTTTTCATTGGCGGATTCCCCAAAATGGCCATTTCGCTCGAGACATCCTCGAAAAATCGAGGTGTTGGAGGCTATCGTTTAAGACGTCTTATGTCAAAAATGACGGTTTCGCTCGAGACATCCTCAAAAAATCGGGATGTTGAAAAATATCAAAAATTGTTGACATGCATGAAAAATGAGCGTTTCGCTCACGACATCCTCGAACAAATGAGATGCCGACAGAGGTGTTTTAGAACCTTTTATGTCAAAAATGACGTTTTCGCTCGGGACGTCCTCAGAAAATGAGCAGGTGGTCTGCCGTGCTCCTGTGTCGAGCACGGCAGACCACGGCCATTTCGCTCGAGACATCCTCAAAAAATCGAGGTGTGGTCTGCCGTGCTCCTGTGTGGTCTGCCTTGCTCCTGTGGTCTGCCGTGCTCCTCACAGGAGCACGGCAGACCGCGCGTAGGAACCGAGAGGAGCACGGCAGACCAAGACGAGGAAAACGGCGGACCAGGCTTAGGAACCGAGAGGAGCACGGCAGACCAAGACGAGGAGCACGGCAGACCAGGCACCAAGAGCGCCCTCAAGACGACGGAAAGGATTACCAAGACGAGGAGCACGGCAGACCAAGACGAGGAGCACGGCAGACTATGCCCTAAGAGTGCCCTCAAGACGGCCGAACAACGGCAGACCGCGTCCTCAATCCGGAGCACGGCAGATCGCGCGCGTAGGAACCGAGAGGAGCAACTGCCGTGCTCCTGCAAGGAGCACGGCAGACACAAGCTTATGGAAGGCGGCGAAGGAGGCACAGTCAGACGCAAGACGAGGAGCATCGGCATACGGCGGGGCACCAAGAGGGCGTCCCTAAGTCCGATACGGTAAAAAAGGATTGAGGAGGTACGAGGAGCACGGCAGACCAAGACAAGGAGCACGGCAGACTATGCAGGAAGAGTGCCCTCAAGACGGCCGAACAACGGCAGACCCCATAGGATCACGGCAGACCACAGAAGAGCACGGCAGACCAACCGGAGCACGGCAGACCACACCAGAGCACGGCCGTAGCCATTTTGGCTCAAGGCCATGGCGCACCCGACGACCGCGAGTCCGTCGGGCGTTCTTGAGCGCGAGGGGCGCTCTGCCACGAGCCAGAAGCTTCGCCAAATTTGTGCTTCTTCGTTCCTGCAGGGCCGAGTGTCTCGGCCAAGCTGCGGCCAGTCCCTCTGTGAGCCGCCATGTCGGAGGTTGCCGCGGGGCTCGCTCGGAGGGCTTACTGGTTGTGTGCTAAGCGTGGCTGCAACGCTTGGAATTGGTGCGACAAGCGTTGGACGTGCAAGGCGTGCGGCACCAGCGCTCCCCCATGGACGAAGGAGTACCGCTCCGACAAGGTCTCCCCTCGGGTGATGCCGACGGGTTCGTGCAGCAGCCCAGGGGAAGAGCTGACCAGCGCGCTGCGAGGCGCTCCGCCTCCCAGCGGGCCCTCTCAGGGAGCACGGCACCCAGCAGCTCCCCCAACAGCAGGACACGGCGTGGGCGTTCCTGGGGAGAGGCCAAGTCTCAGTACGGTGAGCTCCAGGCGCAGCTCGTGGCGGCCAAGGAGCGGGTCGACAAGCTCCAGGCGGCCGCGGCGCTCGGGCTCTCGGAGGACTTCCAGCGAGAGGCGGAGAAGGCCCTCCAGCAGGGCAGGGACCAGGTCGCCGCCCTCGAGCAGTCGGCCCAGGAGGCCCAGCGGACGGGGCGCCCGCCCCACTCGGTCTTCCACATCGAGGCCAACGCCATCCAGAAGGTCGAGCGTCAGTTGGCCACTGCCCGCACCAAGAGGGAGAAGCTCCAGCTGCAGGCGGCGGAGCTGCGCGACCTCATCGCGGAGAAGCAGGAGCAGCTGTCTGCGGCCGAGTTGGGAGTTGATGAAGTCACTGGGCAGATTGCTGAGCTGGAGGAGACCAAGGCCAAGGTCACGCAGCAGGCGATCCAGAGGGCCAACGCGGCACTCGGTGGTGTGCCGAGCCCGCTCGGGGACGCTGTCCAGGGGCTGCTCACTCAGGTTGGGGCCTTGTCGGACCTCCTCAAGCAGCACGGGGCTGAGCTGCCCCCCAGGTTCTCGGAGATCGTCGACATTCTCAACACGCAGAAGGAAGCGGTCGCTGACGTGCTCATGCCCCGCAGCAGCTCGGCCAGGAAGCGCTGGGGCGACAGCGTTGGCGACGACGGCCTCGCGACTGAGGACGACGACATGCCGCTCGACATCGTGTCCTCAGGTGGGCCCGAGGCCGCCCCCTCCCCTGGCGCCCCGCGGACAGGGCAGTCCGCGGCTGGGCCGCCCGCCCCACGGGCCAGGTCTGCGGACGGGCCCTACGGGCCCGCAGTGGCCCGTGGCCAGCGCGGAGCGACTCTGGGTGCGCGGCCCCAGGTGGAGCCCTGCCTCGCCAAGGCCCTCGCAGAGCAAGGGGCGGCCATCTCGGATGGCGACCCCTTGGTGGCTGCGGCTGCTGCTGTGGCTCCTGCTGCAGGGTACGGGCCGCGCCGTGGGCGACGCAGGAGGGCTGGAGTGGCAAGCCTCCACAGTTCGTGGGCCCAGCTGCTGGGACAGGTGGAGGAGGCGCTGCGACGGCCGCTGGCGCGTCAGAGCCCCTCGCAGGCGGCGGGCGGCGCCCAAGGGCCTTGCCCGAAGTAGCCAGCTGGCGCGGTCGGGAACACCGAGGTGGCCCCCCGACGGCCAGTCAGGGGCCGAGAGCGGTGGGATTCAGCCCCACGTCGTCGCAGCTCTCGGCCCCGTTGGTGAAGGGCAGGCGCGCCCCCCGCTCGCTACCGGAGGGGCGGAGGGACGGCCGCCTCCCCAGCGGTGGCCACCTCCCGTGCAGGCGAGCAGCCCGCCGACGACGTCTAGGAGCGCTGGAGCGTGGGGCCAGGTCCCCCCTCCAGTCCTGGTGGGGGTGGAGGGCCCCGCGACCAGGGGCTCGGCGGGCATGGAGCCTGGCGTTGAGGAACGCGCGGCTCGCGAGGCTGCCGTCATCGGCAAAGCGCCGCTGGTTGACAGGGCAGGAGGCCAGCAGCTCCGAGCTGGCCTTGTCTTGCTCGGCTGCAACGGCAATACTTGGAGCAGGAGCATTGAGGTCATTGAAGCCTTCTTCAAGGCGTACGACTACTGGCCCGACGTTGTGGCGCTGCAGGAGACGAGGCTCCCGCATGAGCGCCTGCCCAGTGCGGCGGCTCAGGCCCAGAGGCTGGGGTACGCGGCCTTCCTACACGCGGCAGTGTTGACGGAGAAGCAAGGGCCCCTGGCGACCTCAGGCGGCGTGGCGATCCTGGTGCGGGACGGCTTGCAAGCCGACGAGTCTGCAGCCCCGCTGCCCTCGGCTTTGCGGCACCGCCTCATCGGAGTGGAGATTGCCGCAGCTTCGGGCCTTCGGCTTCTGGTGCTCGCTGGTTATTTTCAGCACTCTCTGGGCCCTCGAGGTATCAACCTCGACTTGTGTTCGGCCATCTCGGAGGTGACGGGCTCCGATGCAGACATCCCGTGGGTCCTCCAAGCGGACTTCAACATGGAGCCCGAGCCCCTGGAGGAGTTAGGGTGGCCCGCGGCAGTGCGGGGGCACGTCCTGGGGCCCTCGGAGGCGACGTGCCATGCCGAGGGCTGTGACCACCTCTACGACTGGTTCGTGGCTTCTGCGGCGTTGGCGGCCTGCACGGCCTCCTGTGCCACCACGCTCGAGGGCTTTGGGCTGCACCCTCATCGCCCTGTCCTACTTCGCCTACAGGATGTTCGGGCAGATGCGTTGGTTGAGGTTCCGTCCAGGCCCGCCCGCTTTCCCGAGGTAGCCCCTGAGCTCCTTCGGGCACATGAGGACGCGGTGATTGTGCGTTACTCGGTTGGCAAGAAGGGGCAGGTCACGTCCAGGGAGGTCTCGTGGTCCTGGGACGTGGGCTCTGCTCCGACCAACCTCTCCGTTGCCTTCGGCGAGTGGGCGGCAGCCGCAGAAGGCACCCTGGTCGGCATCCACGGCATCGGCCAGGCTGACCTGGCCCGTCATCTCGGCAGAGGAGAGGGGCCGAGGCTGACCCTCAAGCCGCTCAGCGCCCTTGTCAGGCGGGACGCCAGGTTCAGGTTCAGCCTCCTCACGCACCGCCTAAGGAGTTGTCTGGACGTGGCCCTCCAGCGAGTGCGCGCGGAGAGCACTGGCCGATGGCACCCTCGGCATGCGGTCTGGTACGAGCACCAGGCCGAGCTCAGGACGCAGCTCTTGCTGGAGGCGGTGCAGGAGGCGGACGACTCGGTCGGTCAGGGCCTTCCTGGTGCTGCTCCTGAGCGGTTGGGCGACCTGGTGTACCAGGCGGGCGTCCTCGGCAGCCCTGAGGCAGTTCGGGACCTCCAAGGGCTGCTCAGTGCTTCGCAGCGCCGCGATGCGGCTCAAAGCGCCCAGGCCTGGCGCAGCTGGGCCCAGACAGCGGTCGAGAAGGGCGGTCGCCTGGCCCACCGCTTCTCGAAGGCGACGCCCCCGCCGACGGTCAGGGACGCTGACTCGGGCAGGAGGCTTGTGGGTATGGCAGCGATTGGCGAACTCACGAGAGTCTGGCAGAAGCTGTGGCTCCAGGACGGGTTTGCCTCGGGCGCGGGGGCCAGCAGCTGGGACGTGGGCGAGTGGCAGCTGCCCCCCATCTCGCTGGAGCAGCTCCAGGCGGCCTGCAAACGCTACAGCCCCTCGGTGGGCCTCGGGTGCGACTCCCTGCACCCTCGGCAGATCCTCCTTCTGCCAGTGGCGCTGCAGCTGCGCATCCTGGACATCCTGGCGGCCTACGACGAGGCCCCTGCATCGATCCACGGGCAGGTCTCCCTGATGGTGTTCATTCCGAAGGCAGACGGCGGGGTAAGGCCCATAGCGCTGCTGCCGTTGATCCTGCGGCTCTGGTCGCGCCTCCGCCAGCCGTGCTGTGCACGCTGGGAGGCTGACCACAACTTCCCCTTCTTCTGGGGACGTGATGGGCGGGACTGTGAGAGGGCTGGTTGGCTGCACAACTGTTTCGCGGGGTTCGCGAAGTCGAACCTGCAGTTCGAGGCCGCGAGCCTCTTCCTGGACATCAGCAAGTTCTACGAGCACGTGCGGCACGACGTTCTCTGGGCGAATGCGGTATGTTTCGGGTTCAACCTCAGGCTGCTGCGCGGCCTCCTCACGTCCTACCAGGCCCCTAGGATGATCCTAGCGGCGGGCATGGCCTCCCCCGCCTTCGGCACTACGGGTACGGTGCTGGCTGGGTGTGCGTGTGCGACAGCAGTTGCGAAGCTCCCAGTACTGGGAGCCCTCCTGGCAGCGGGGGCGACGTGCCCGTTGGTCACGCCGAGGACTGTTGTCGACGACATTTCGCTCCAGGCGGTCGGCACGGCTCGGCTCGTGAAGCTGCAGATGGTGGCCGCCAGTTGTGAGGTGGTCCGACAGCTGCGTGAGCAGCACCTCCCACTCAACGAGAGTAAGTCGGTCTTCCTGGCCTCGTCGCCGCAGCTCGCCAAGGAGCTCTCCGAGGCTTGGGCGGCGCATGGCTTTACCTTCAAGAGGGGACTTCAGGCGAGGAACCTCGGCACCGACGCCAACATCACTCGTCGTGGAGTTCATGAAGGAGCTGTGCGTGCGGCCAGCGGCCTTCGCCGAGGACGCAGGCTAGGGGTGCTTCGCTCAGCTGGCGCGGCTACCGAGTTGGTCCATCGTGCTGGGCCCACCGCGGCGATGCTGTGGGGGCGCACTGTGACTGGTGTTCCTGATAGGGAGCTGCATTCGTGGCGCTTGGCGGCTGTGCGCTCAGCTGGGAAGTTCCCTAAGGGCGCCTCGCTCGGGTTCAGACTCAGAGTGGTGGAGGTCATGAAGTCCATCGACCTCGACCCGAGCCCCGCGCTGCTTCGGGCCGCGGTGCAGATGGCGGCCAGTCTCCTCCAGTCGGGGGAGGTCCCGCTGCGTATGTTCGAGTCGGCCGTGCAGGAGGCAATGCAGAGGCACGCGGGAGCAGCAGCCCCTTGGGCGCACTGCCGCACGCCGGTGGATGCCCTGGCCCTCTCGCTCTCCAGGGTGGGCTGGAAGCTTGTTCAAGGAGCCCGCCTCGCAACCGACGACGGCCATCTCCTGGACCTGCGCATGTTGGGGCCGCGCGAGCTGGGCCTGCTGGCTGCGGCAGGGGCACGGCGAGCGTCGGACAAGTCGGAGCTGGCCCGCCTCGGCCACGGTGCGCTCCCTCAGTCGTCCCTGTTCTGGGAGGCCTTCGCGGAGGTCCTCGGGCCTGGCAGCAAGCTCAGCCACAGGGAGAAGGCGGCGGTGGTGAGCTTCCTTTCCAACGCCCACTGGCCCCAGACCCGTCTGCACGCGGCGGGTGAGAGGGAGCACGCTCGCTGCTGTGCCTGTGAGGCCCCCCGCGGCAGCCTCTGGCACAGGCTGTTCGAGTGTCCTGTCCTCGCGGGGGCCAGGCGTGACTCCACCTCTGACCGCCTTCGGCGCTGTGCGCATCGTGCACGCGGCCGTGGCGAGGAGGCGGGGGAATGTTTCGCGCGCTGCTGGCTCCCTCAGCCACCGAGGGCCGGCCCGAGGTCAGACGCCATGGCAGTCATGTGGTGCAATCGCCCCGCCGACGGTCTTCTCGGGGGGCGGCTCTACCTGGATGGGTCGGCGCTCGACCCCGAGCACGAGAGCCTGCGGCGTGCGGGATGGAGCATCGTGCAGTGCGACTCCGACGGCTACATGGAGTGCGCGGTGTACGGCAGCGTGCGCCAGGACCTCTGCCCGTTCCAGACGGCGAAGGACGGTGAGGATTTCGCGGTCTGGATGCTGTCTCGCTTCCTGGGCCCGAGCGTTGACGAGATCCTCATTGATTGTGCGTCCACGGTCAGCTGCCTCACGATGGGTAAGAAGTACGCGACGGCAACCAGCAAGCCCAACGCCCACCTCTGGGAGGGGATCTACGCGTCGCTGGACGTGGACACGCTCAAGGTGACCAAGGTGGCAGCCCACTGCACCGCCAGAGACGTGATGGATGGCAAGATCACGGAGGCGGACCTCCGCGGCAACGGACATGCAGACCGCTGGGCCAAGGCGGGGGCGGAGCTCCACCGTACCAGCCCAGTGGCCAGGCGCGAGTTCTTTGGCACGATGGAGGTGGTGAGGGAGCTCTCATGCTGGGTGGCGCAAGCCTCCCTCATCTGGCAGGGGATCGAGGTCAAGGACTGCGAGGGCCTCCCCGAGGGCAGTGAGCGGGCGGCCGTCTCCTTCGCAGTGCCAGTGGTGGAGCCCGCCAGCAGCCGCCCGCCCGACCTGGGTTCGGGCGACGGGTGGGCATCGGCGGCGCGCGCTGGTGGCGTCTCCCTCGGGGCGACGGCCTTCGTCGTCGTCGGCCACGTCCTGGCCTACGCCAAGTGCGGGGAGGGCGCCGCCGAGCAGGAGCTGATGGCGTGCACCCACTGCGGGGCGTACGCGCGGCTGGGTGGGCGCTCAGGTGCGGCGCCCAAGCTCAAGGAGCAGTGCCCAGGGTCGGCTGGGCTTCCCAAGGGAAGGAGAGACCAGAAGGCGCGCTGGTTGCAGGGGCGGCACCCTGCTGGCACGCCCCACAGCGGCAGCAAGAGGGTCGGAGCGTCTGTGCCCAGCTTGCGCAAGGAGGACGTGGTGCCGATGGCCGCCAGGGTGCGCTTCCTGGAGTGGCTGGGTGTCCGCCCCGATGATGCACCTGGCGGCGTGGCCGCCGACGCCGGCCGGGGGCCCCCCAGCGGCGCGGCGGCCGCAGGTGAGGCGGAGGCTGAGCCTTTGGCGCCTGACTCCTCGGGGGCCTCGAGGGAGGCTTGGCTTAGCGCCTACGGACTCGACGAAGCGAGCCTCCTCGAGTGGTCAGCCGCAGCAGAGGCGGCGCGCGAAGACAGGCGCAAGAGGCGCCGTCGCGCTGAAGGTGACGAAGGGGAGTGATGCAGCATCACTTTCCTCTTTCTGTTGTATCTGCCCCTCGTCACCTCTTTTGGCGTGTGCGTGAGGCAGCGTCTTCTGCCCCGCATTGCTGTTGCAGCGAGGCGGCTCTGTTAGGCGTGATGTGCGCCTCCGCCCCGCTGCCTTCTGATTTCTTTGAAATCGTGCGCTTCGCGCATTTGGCGCTTCGCGCCCTTCCCCCTGGCGGCTCCCTTGGGGCCCCTAGGGTTGGCCCTTGAGGCCCTGGGGCCAACGGGCTCTGTGGGCCTCGGGCTCCTTTTTGCCTTCATAGGCCCCGCAGCCCACAGCCCACAAAGGAGCACGGCAGACCACACAAGAGCACGGCAGACCCCACAAGAGCACGGCAGACCCCACAGGAGCACGGCAGACCCCACAGGAGCACGGCTGAGCAGACCCTAAAGGAGCACGGCAGACCACACAGGAGCAAGGCAAACCACAGGAGCACGGCAGACCACACAGGAGCACGGCAGACCCCACAGTAGCAAGGCAGACCCCAAAGGAGCACGGCAGACCACCGGAGCACGGCAGACCACACAGGGGTACGGCAGACCCCACATGAGCATGGCAAATCCCAAATGAGCACGGCAGACCACAAGAGCACGGCAGACCACACAGGAGCACGACAGACTCCACAGGAGCACGGCAGACCACAAAGGAGCACGGCAGACCACACAGGAGCCCGGCAGACGCCACAGGAGCACGGCAGACGCCACAGGAGCACGGCGGAACCTACAGGAGCACGGCAGACCGCGCGCGGGTACAACATAAACGCGCCTTTTTGTTGTACCCCGAACGCCGCTGGCGTTTCCCCAACAGGAGCACGGCAGATCTCACAGGCGCGCGGCATACCGCAAATGAGCACGGCCGACCACAGGAGCACGGCAGACCCCAAATGAGTACGGCAGACCCCAAAGGAGCACCGTAGACGCCTCAGGAGCACGGCTGACCACACAGGAGCACGGCAGACCACACAGGAGCGCGGCAAACCACAAAGGACCGGAAAAATTGTCATTCCGCTCAAAAAATCTGACCAAGACGCGCCCAAGACGGCCACCAGGGCTCCAAGACGGCCCAAGAGCGCTCCAAGACCGCCCTAGAGCGTTCCAAGATGCCCTAAGATGGCTTCCAGACGGTCCAAGAGAGCTCCAAGACGGCCCAGGAGGCTTTCAAGAGGCCTCCAAGACGCCTCAAGAGGCTTCGAAGAGGCCTCACCAGCGCGCCAAAGAGGCAAACATCTATGATTTTTGAATAGTTTTTGAAGGTTTTTGGGGTTCGCCGTTTCGCTCGGGACGTCCTCAAAAAATCGGCTCCGGAGGGGACTCCGAAACAGCATTATCTTGGAATCGCTCCCGGAGGGCCTCCAAACGGCCCAAGAAAGCCCCCGAAGGCCCCCCAGAGGACCCCCCGAGCGCCCCAAGAGACCCCCAAGAGGCCCCCAAGGGGCGGCCAGAGGCCCGCCAGAGCGCCCAAAACGCCCCAAGAGACCCCCAAGAAGCCCCCCAGTGGCTCCAAAGAGGCGGCCAGAAGTCCCCCAGAACGCGCGAAAAGGCTCCAGGAGTTCCCTGAGAGCTTCATATCGCCCCATAGAGCCCCCGAAGGCCCCCCCCGGGACTCCCCCAAGAGGCCCCCGAGAGGCCAGAGGCTACGACAGCCCCAAGAGCGTCAAAGATACCTCCAAGACGGCGCCGAAGCCAGGAAACGCAACAGGGATGTTCTCTGACGTTCTCGCCAATACGGTCTCTGACGCACGTGGTGGATAAAAAACTGCGCTTCCCGTTCTTGTCCGGTCAGGTTTTTCGTTGGCGGATTCCCCAAAATGGCCATTTCGCTCGAGACATCCTCCAAAAATCGAGGTGTTGGAGGCTATCGTTTAAGACGTCCTTGAAACCGAGAGGAGCACGGCAGACCAAGACGGGGCACGGCAGACCAAGACGAGGAGCACGGCAGACCAGGCACCAAGAGCGCCCTCAAGACGACGGAAAGGATGACCAAGACGAGGAGCACGGCAGACCAAGACTAGGAGCACGGCAGACTATGCCCTAAGAGTGCCCTCAAGACGGCCGAACAATCATCAAACAAACAATGAGTCTAACGTCGTCTTGGAAACGTTTTTGAGGGCATCAGTACGGCCCCCCAAAAACAAATGTCCTGTGTGGTCTGCCGTGCTCCTGTGTGGTCTGCCGTGCTCCTGTGTGGTCTGCCGTGCTCCTTCTTGGTCTGCCGTGCTCATGTGGGGTCTGCCGTGCTCCTGTGCGGTCTGCCGTGCGAACGTGTGGACTGCCGTGCTCATTTGGGGTCTGCCTTGCTCCTTTGTGGTTTGCCGCGCTCCTGTGTGTTCTGCCGTGCTCCTGTGTGGTCAGCCGTGCTCCTGAGGCGTCTACGGTGCTCCTTTGGGGTCTGCCGTACTCATTTGGGGTCTGCCGTGCTCCTGTGGTCGGCCGTGCTCATTTGGGGTCTGCCGCGCGCCTGTGAGATCTGCCGTGTTCCTGTGGGGGAAACGCCAGCGGCGTTCGGGGTACAACAAAAAGGCGCGTTTATGTTGTACCCGCGCGCGGTCTGCCGTGCTCCTGTGGGTTCCGCCGTGCTCCTGTGGCGTCTGCCGTGCTCCTGTGGCGTCTGCCGGGCTCCTGTGTGGTCTGCCGTGCTCCTTTGTGGTCTGCCGTGCTCCTGTGTAGTCTGCCGTGCTCCTGTGTGGTCTGCCGTGCTCTTGTGGTCTGCCGTGCTCATTTGGGATTTGCCGTGCTCATGTGGGGTCTGCCGTGCTCCTGTGTGGTCTGCCGTGCTCCTGGCGTTTGCCATGCTCCTGTGGGGTCTGCTGTGCGAACGTGTGGTCTGCCGTGCTCCTGTGGGGGTCTGCCGTGCTCCTGTGGTCTGCCGTGCTCATTTGGGGTCTGCCGTGCTCGTGTGTAGTCTGCCGTGCTCCTGTGGGGTCTGCCGTGTTCCTGTGTGGTCTGCCGTGCTCCTGTGTGGTCTGCCGTGTTCCTGTGTGGTCTGCGTGCTCCTTTGGGGTCTGCCGTGCTCCTGTGTAGTCTGCCGTGCTCCTGCTCTGCCGTGCTCCTGTGTGTTCCGCCGTGCTCCTGTGTGTTCTGCTGTGCTCAATGTTCTGCCGTGTTCCTGTGGGGTCTGCCGTGCTCCTGTGTGTTTTGCCGTGCTCCTGTGCATTCTATGCGTGTGCGTGCGTGCGTTGAATTTGTGCACGTGTGTCCGTTCGAGGTGGTACGTGGCACTGCTGTGGTATGCCGTACTAAAAACGTGGAATATCTCATAAGCCCAGGGGACAAAAGGACGCTTCCCGTTCTTGTCCGGTCAGGTTTCAAAAAAGCCCGTTTCGCTCGAGACATATTTCGAAAATCGGCCCCGGAGACCCACGATATTCCCAAGAGGGGTCCACGAGGGCTCCAAGACGGCCTCAGTTGCTCCCGAGACGGTCCAAGAGGCCCCGAAGACGTCCGAAGGTGGCTCCAATACGGCCCAAGAGGCTCCAAACACGCTCCGAAAGCGCCCGGAGAGAACGCCAAAGAGGCACAAATTATCAAATCCCCATGGGAAAATGTACGTTTTACCATATCCGTTGTTTCTTTTGTTACGCGGTCCTGGACACGCCAGGAGGCTCCCTGAATCGGCCCAGGACGTCCTCAGCGGTCCCCAAGAGGGCCACAAGACCGCCCAAGAGAACCCCAAGACGGCCCAAGATGACCCCCAATCGGCCTTAGAGAGCTCAAGACGGCCCCAAGAGGGCTCCAAGAGGGCCCCCAGAAGCTCCCAAAGAGAGCCCCAGGGAGCCCCCAAGAGAGCCCCAAGACGATCCAAGGCGTCCAAGACGCTCCGAGACGGCCCAAAAGGGCTCCAAGACGTTCCAAAAACGGCCCAAAGGGGCCCCAAAAGAACCCCAACAAGACCCCCACCAGGGTCACTACGAAGGTCCAGAGACGCCAATTCAAAGAGAGATCGGTAACGTCACAAGCTTTTCACACCACGGCTCCCAAGAGCGAACGGTGACATAACAAGCTCTTCAAACCAAGGCTCCCAAGAGCGAGCGGCTACGTTAAAAAATTCAAAGCCGCGCCTCCAAAGCGTGAGCGGTGGCGTAACCATAACAAAACTTTAAAGCCACGGCTCCCAAGCGTCAACGGTGACGTAACCAGCCTTTAACACCAAGCATCCCACCAGCGAAGAGCGCCATGAGCCATCTCGGGCCAGTTCCTGCAGCGCTCTTTCCGCTTCCGTGTCAGAGCGCTCTTGGACGTTTTAAGTATCCGGATGTATCCTTGGTTGCCGTGGCAGACGATGTTGGTTCGGCGCGCATGACTGGCATCTCTGGCACTTTCCCCACATGAGCGGCGCAGAGGAGAGCAGCGCACTGCGACTCACGCCGGTTCGTCCTCTCCGCTTTCTTCTTGCGCTGCTGGCCGCTCGGGCCTCCCCCTCCTCCTAGGTCCACGGGAGAGGGTACGGGGAGAGGTGAACCGCTCCCCCGAGCACGGGATGGAGGAGGTTTTGGCAGAGAGAAACCATACCTCGCTAAACCACCTGAGCCCCCAGGGCTGGTGTGATATTAGTTGTGGAGGCCTTTGGGGGTTTCTTGGGGGTACTTCGGCCGTGTTCTGGCATTATTTGCTTGTCTCATGCTGTCGGAAACCGTCTGGGGGGCCTCTCATAACCGGCTTGGGGCCCACTTGGTGCGCTTGAGGCACGTCTTGCAGACCATCTTGGGCGTCTTGGAGGCCTCTCGTGACGTGTTCTTCTAGCATGTCGTCGCATCATTCTCATACGCCATACACGCGCACCCTCTGGGACGTGCTCTGGCACGCACCCACTGGGACACGTGTAGTACGAGCACCCTTTGGGAGGTGCTTCGCACGTACCCTTTGGGACACGTACGGTACAGTACACGCGCACCCTCTGGGACGTGCTCCGGCACGCACCCACTGGGACACGTGTAATACGCGCACCCTTTGGGACGTGCTTCGCGCGTACCCTTTGGGACGCGTACGGTGCAGTACACGCGCACTCTCTGGGACGTGCTCCGGCACGCACCCGTTGGGACACGTGCAGTACACGCACCCTTTGGGACGTGCTTGGCACGTACCCTTTGGGACACGCGCGGCACAGTACACGCGCACCCTCTGGGACGTGCCCTGGCACGCACCCACTGGGACACGTGTAATACGAGCACCCTTTGGGACGTGCTTCGCACGTGCCCTTTGGGACACGTGCGGTATAGAACACACGCACCCTCTGGGGCGTGCTCTGGCACGCACCCACTGAGACACGTGTAGTACGCGCACCCTTTGGGACATGCTTCGCGCGTACCCTTTGGGACAAGTCACTGTTATACCACGCGCGCGCGGCACAGCGCTTACGATTTCGCTTCAGCGCGGAGAGAAACGATTGCAGACGCTGCTCCTTCTGGAGTCCAGATGGCCGGTCTCCCCGTGGCGGCGAAGATCTATGAAGACGCCCCCCAGGACACAGACGCCGACGGAACTGCCCTCCTCGAGTCCGGCGACGACGAGCCTCCCTTGCCGCCCGGCGCCGACGCCGACGTCGACGACGTGGGCGCCGCGCCGCGTAAGCCCCCGCACCGCGCTGCCGACCCCGCGAGCATCCTTTGCGGCACTTTCCCCGATGGCGTGGAGCTCCAGGACGTCATCGCGCCGGCATCGCTCCACAGCAGCAAAACGGCAGAAGCAAAGTACGTCACCGAGCTCATGCGGGAGACCAGCGGCCGCCTTCGAGGAGCGCAGCCGCTCGCCGCGCAAGAGGACTTGCCTGAACCTATCCGCTCCCAGCCAGCCGCATCACTCGCCGCAGCTGATCGCCAGGCTGGCTTAACTCATCGACACGTGGGAGGTCGACTCCGCTGCGCAGACACGAGCGGCAAAACAAAAAGCCCCCGACCAGCTCCAACATCGACTGGATGACGCCATGCAGAATGGCCGATCATCAACCTTCCCGATCGTGCCCCCGCGCACTCGGGCCGCCGTGATCGACGCATGCGTCCACCTTCTGCAGAACGGAGTCCTCGACGTCGTCGACGTGCCGAAGGTCAACGTCAAGCAGGCGCGGGCACTTCTGTGGCACGCCGCCTGGCTGCAGGACGTCATGTACAGAAAGTGGGGCTTCGACGATCCCTCTGACCGTGCATCCACGGGCCGCCACTCGCTCGCCGACGGATTCCAGCTTGCTCTGATGGGGCCGAGAGGCATTGGAAAAACAGCCGTCCTTCGTGTCATCGAGGCCGTCTCCGCGCAGAAGTGCGCCCCCTCTAACGAAGCGGCGCGCCTGCTGAAAGGAGACACTCCCCATGCTCTCTGCAAGCTGCCCTTCGGTAACGTCACCGTCTCTGGCAAGAGGGGCCGCCTTGCTCGGCCCGCGCTTGAAAGTCACCGCCAGCGCTGGGAGGCTGCTCTTGCGTGTTTTCTGGACGAGGTGTCCATGGTCGCTGCCGGTCTGTTGTTTCAGTCCGAAGTCCGCCTGAAAGCTGCCAAGAATAATGTGATGGCGTGGAGGGGGGGGGCTCGGCGTCGCGCTGTCCGGCGACTTCGTGCAGCTCCCTCCCGTCGACCCGACCGGAGACAACAAGAGCTTGGCAACCCCCCTCGACGACCCCGACATCCTCACCGAGAAAGCGGTTGACAACGCCGCCAAGGACGCCGACAAGAAACGGTCGAAGCTCGCGGAGACGGCGCAAGGGCTGCAACTTTGACGCCGCGCGCGGCGCGCGGTTACGCTTGAAGTCAACATGCGAGCACCTGGGCCTCTTAGCCGACTGCTTGCAGAGATGAGAGCTGGCTCTATTTTTGACGCCACGTGGGACACGTGCGTCAGCCGCACTCTCGTTCCTGATGACCCACGGCTGCAAGACCAATCATCTCCGTTCTCGACGCACCCGTGGACTCACATCGTCCATCGCCACGAGATACGCTCATGCTGGTCCTTTCTCAAAGCCAAGTTGCAGGCCAGCAACTCTGGGCACAAGTTGTGCATCGCGCAGGCTTGAGACGAGGCAGTCGAGCCCTCCGACGATAAGAAGATGAAGCCCCAGTTGCGGCAGGACCTCCTGGAAATAACAAATCCGAAAGACACTCAAGACCTACCAGGTGTTCTACCTCTTTATATCGGGATGCGCTTGACCATGTGCACCAAAGACTGCGTGCGCCTCGGCCTCATTGAAGGGTGCCCGTGCACCCTGCGCCACATTGTCTTCGCAGCCGGCGAGACGTTCGCGTTGGACAACCTCGACGACAACATCGCGCACTTGCATATCATGCCCGTCTCTCTGTGGTTGCAGGCAGACGACGCCGAGTGGGCGCTGCCGCTGACGCACCTACCTGGAGATCTACCGCCTTGGACCGACCGGAGGGGCCTGTTCCAGACGCGCCCGACTTGCGGTTATCTCCGAGCCGCATGGGAAGACGTGCATTATTCCGCACGACGCACGGGATGCCGACTGCGACCCGCCGGCACAATCATTGCGCACGGTGCACAAGGCGGCGCATACTAGGCCGTCATCGCCGACATGAAGCGCCCGCCATCCATGGACGCGGACACGCACTGGCTGGCGTGCTACCTGATGTTGTCCCGGGCCGTCTCCCTCGAAGGGCTTCTCATTCTTCGACCAGCAACAAGGCAGGAGCCGCCATGCTCGCCCCCGCAATGTCTGCGTGACGAGATCAACCGTCTGGCCCACTCAGATGCCGATTCTTTGGACGAGCTTGTCGACATCTTCACGGACCTCGCGGCCGATAGCCTGCCTCCAGCACTACGCGCAGACATGCTAAGCCGCGACGGCGCAGAGCGACAAACGGCAGAGATTTCTGCGCACCGCGAGCAACAGGCTAGCCCGACGCAGGCCAGGGCCCCAAGTCACGCATCCTGCCGACGACTTCGTGAGAAGACACTAGCAGACGCCAACTTGGGACCTCATGGGAAACGGCAGCGACTAAACATTCCTCCGCACACCGCCTGCATCACCCCCCTCCGCCCAGCCGGAGCGGCCCCAGCTGAGCCGCCATCGTCAAACCCGCGATCCCAGGCTGACCCGACAGAGGCGCCGCTCCCACGTAGAGACCCTGCACCTGCGACATCACCTGCAGCGACGGAGAACGGATTGACCGACTGTCCGGACTCAACGGCACCGTCGGCGATTTCTACGATGCGTTCAGCTCCCTCATACGTTGGCTGTAGTGCACGTCGCCGTTCTCAGCTGCGCGAAGATCTCGAGAAATCCAGCGCGGCTGCAGGTGCTGCCGCGTCGTCGTCAGTGATCGGTACGCCACCGCCAGGAGCCACTACCGAGACCACGACAACGCCTCCTGGACTTCAGACATCCGACCAGGAGAAGCCCGCCAGTGCAACGACGCCGCCTCCGAGTTCCATGCCGTCGGCGGAGCAGGCTGAGCAGGCGGACCCAGAGTCTGAGCCAGTGTCTGAAACGGCAGCCGATGCAACTGACGGCCCTCAGAGCGCCGCCCGAACCGGAGCGCCGTCGAGCGGGCCGAACACTGGGCCACGCAAGTCAGCCGCAGCCGCAGCATGCGGCCCGGGCGCCGCCGACGAGGCCACCGCGGCCGCAGCGACGCTCGCGGGAGGGTCAGACGTTGCACAGGGAGCCAGAGACCCGCCGCCACCTCCGCGACGCGCGCCAGGCCCGCTCAGGAACATTGGGAACTCCTGCTACGCTAACGCGACTCTGCAAGCGATCTTCGCTCTGGATAGCACTGCAGCATTGTGCGGCGCAGTGCCTGTCGACGTCGGCCGCGATGGGGAGCTGGCCACAATATGGCGCGCCGCCCGAGAGGGCAATCTCTTCACCCCAAGGCTCTTCCTGCGAGCCCATTCCAGCAAGCAGCAGCAGGACGCCCACGAGTTCCTCCACCAGCAGCTACTGCATGCCGCAGGATCGTGGGCAGCGCTGTGCAGCGGCGCGGACCTGCCCCGCCTGCACTGCCAGCACTGCGGGCGCAACTTCTGCGCCCTGTCGATGCCGCTGCGTGCCCCCTCCGGCACTTCATACTGCGCGGCCCAGGCGGCGCTCTCAGGATACCTAGAGGCACGGACTATAGTGGAGCTGGACGATTGGGCTTGCCCAGCGCAAAATTGCATCAACTGCGGCATCGCGACCGACCGCCCCTTGAAGGTACGGAACGTCGTGAAATGGCCGCGTGTGCTCATTTTGTATCTCCTTCGCTGGGACGCACGCTGAAACCTGATGCCGCGCGCGGTCCTGCCGGAGCGCGACTTACACGTGACGGGAGAGACCTCGGACAGGGCGACGTACTACGTGGCTTACACGCTGCGCGCGGTGGTGACGCACGAGGGGAACACGCCGCAATCCGGCCATTACGTGGCGTTCACGCCCCGGGGCGGCCGCTGGGACGTCTGCGACGATTCCAGGATCCGACCGGCCAAGGACATGGAGGCAACTACCTTCGTGCGCAACGGCGATCCAGGACACGCGTACTTGCTCTTCTACGAGAAGGCGCACTCTTCCGATGTCGTGGAGGTCGACTTGAAGAGCCCCATCCCCGCAGGCGGTTTCTCGGAGCCACGCCCTCCACCACCTCCTCCTCCTCCTCCCGTCCCCCTCGTCGCTTGACCTCCCCCCAGCCGTCCAGATGTTTCCACTGCCTGCAAGCGTGCGCCGCTATTGTAGGCGCGCGGGCCGCTATAGTAGACTATGCCTCCTTTCGTTTTTGCCAACCCAGATCCAGCGCTGTCCGCTCCTCGGTAAAAAGTCGCACACGCACGCGCAGGCAAGATCGGCAGCAAGGGGAACAATGACGTAACAAGCCTTGCGCGCCTAGGCTCCACGTACGAATGACGACGTAAGGAGCTCTCAACGCCAAAGTTCAATCACGAGCAGCGACGTCAAAGGCTCTTAACACCAAGACCCCCGAGAGCAAAAGGTGCCATGAACCATCTCGTCAAATTCGTGGTCCGCTGTGCCCGTTTTCGTGCCGGCCCAACCCGTGGGTCGCGCAAACCATGGATCGAGCAACTCATGGCGCAACCCATGTCGATCCCACGATACAGTGATAAAAAGGCACCCGCTGCATCGTGACGGCGCCCTGGCCTGCGCTAGAACCTAAGCACGCGCGAAGCCCGTGCGTGGTTCTACTTATCCTTTGATCTGGTACATCAGAGGAACGTCTTCCAGCCCCAGGGGGGGCGACGCTTGAGGAGGAAAAGAAGAGGAGAAAGAGGAGGAAGAGGATGAGGAGGAAAACGGGGAGGAGGAGATAAATAATAGGAGGAGGAGGAGACAAAGGGGGGGAGGAGGAGGAGGAGGAGGAGGAGGAGGAGGAGGAGGAGGAGGAGGAGGAGGAGGAGGAGGAGGAGGAGGAGGAGGAGGGGGGGGAGGAGGAGGAGGAGGAGGAGGAGAAGGAGGAAGAAGAGGAGGAGGAGGAGGAGGAGGAGGAGGAGAGGAAGAGGAGGAGGATCAGGGAGGTGGGGGGAGCTGGAGGAGGTTGTCGAGGAGGAGGAAAAGGAGGGGGAGGACGAGGAGGAGGAGAGGAAGAGGAGGGGGAGGAGGAGGAAGAAAGGAAGGTACAGGAGGAGATTGAGCCTCCGTGGCCAGAGGTAACCCTCTCCGAGTGTCGTTTTGGCACGGCACGCTCGCGCCACCTCGGCACGGTGGCGACGCCGGCGCGGGCGCTCCGGGCTAAACACCCTCTCCGGGGAGGGCTCGTTTCGGGCCCTGGGAGGCGGAAGCCGGAGAGGGGGGCGACGACGACGCGGCCATCGCATCCGCAGTTCCAACGCCAAGGGGTCGACCCGTGCAGAATACTCACACCAACGCCCGCGAATGAACAAACATAAGCGCTTCCCGTTTTTGTCCAGTCAGGTTTCTTTGGATTCGTGCACAAGTAATGCCCACTCGCGCGTACCAACCGTCATTGAAGGTTGACGATGGAACGTTCTCGGGGCCGTCCTGCATCCCTCTTGGGGCTCTATTGGGGCCTCCTTGTGGCCCTCTGGGGAGCCCTGGAGGGCCTCTTGAGGCCATCTTGGAGGCCATCGATCAAATGGGGAAGTCCTTTCTCTAGCCCCCCCACCCGCACCCCCACCCCCCAAGACCCTTCGGAATCGCCTCATGGGGGGCCCTCTTGGGGCGCTCATCGGGGCGTCTTGAACTCCGCTTCGGGCTCTCTTGGGCAATCGTGGGGCCATCTCGAGGCCTCAAAAGCGCATCGGAAGCGAAAAAGGCGAGAAGGCAAGCATCAGTGATGTCCGTACGCTTTTGACGGATGTCGGCTTCTTGGGGGGTCTTCAGGGTGCTCCAAAAGCACTTGGAGCAGTCTTGTGGCCTTCATGATTCCAATTGGAGGCATGCCAAAAGTTATCTTGAACCATCCTTGGCTATCTTAAGCCGCCTTGGCGGCCATTTTTGAGCATCGGAGACCATCTAGGAGCCACACTGGGCGAAAACGGACCCCTGACACCCCGCGGAACCCCCGAACAAACCTCAGATAGGGAAGGGAAAGGGGACCCTTCCCCGAAGGGAAGCGGGCTTCAGAAGAGAAACAAAGACATTATAAGCCCAAAGGGCTGGTGGGATTCTTTCGAGAGGCTTGTCCGCGAAAAAAAATCAACTTCCGCACACAACCACCGTAGGAAAGTACCCGTATTCCCATCGGCGCAACTGCTCTGTCACGCATCCCTCCCCCCGGGCCCCCTTCCTTCCCCAGCCATGCCTGCACGGGAGGCTGACGGCAGGCACGGGGTCAGCCACGAGCAAGAGTGACCCTTCGCAGGCGTGACCTCTGGTGCGGGCCCGCAGAGGTGCCCCCCCAGCATTGGCCTGCGCGCTTAGATTTGGCCCCCCGCCAGGGCTCATTCCGACCCCTCCAATTCGACGTCGATCGATGCCGATTCGATTCGGCTTCGGGTTCCGATCCAGATCTCGGTTTCTCAAGGGAGGCCTTACCAGCTTGCCGATGTCCGCCGATTCGGTTTCTCCCGACTTGGCGGCCTCGTGGGCCGTCCTGGGGCTCTCCACGCGGCCCCGTGGGCCGTCCTTGACTGGCGGCAGCCTGCGAAGTGGCAGCACTGTTCAAACAGCTTCGCAACATCAGCGATACGCTGCCTCCTGGAGGCCTCCGACGGCGTCGTGAGGGTTTCGGCCGATCCAATTCGTTCAAATCGCCGACCCGGCTTATCGATCCGATTCTGGCCTCCCCTGGGTCCGCAGGGCCCCTACGTGAGGCCGCGCACCAGAGGCCACGGGTTGCGCTTGCGTCTACGGCGGGTTCGTGTCGTGACGACCAGCTGCGATCCCGCCGCAGACGTTCAGCGTTGCACGCCGCCGGCGACCCAGAGCCGGTCAAGGTTGAACGATTTGACGTGTCTGAAACGGTCGATCGTTCCAGGCTGAACGATGCGCGCGGTGTGAGGAACCAACGCCGGGGTCGGCACGACGCGAACTTGCCATAACCCGAACTTGCCCTCGTCCTGCCACCGAGGGGGCGCTGGGCGTGGCCGCCGCCGCTCCCGAGGGGGGCGGGCCCGGCCTTGCTGCTTCGAGGTTGAGCGACCCCCGCGGTGTCAAGGCACCAACGGCGGGGTCGGCACGACGCGAGCCTGCCGCAGCCGACGGGGCTCCGCCTCCGAGAGCCTCACCACCGGCCGCCCCCCGCGCGGCAGGCCTGGCGTTAAGTCGGGCGTGTCCCTCCACAGGAGGAATATTCAAAAGCAGTCAGAAAATAGTCGGGGAACGATGTTTCAGCATTTTCTGTTTATGTTTGAGCATGTGTGTTGCATGTTCGCTTGTCGCTGAAAATCCGAGACGTGCTTTACGCTGATGATACGTTGCTTCCTTCAAGGCATGGGGAAAATTGTCAAGCTCTACTCAATGCCGTCGTTCTGGAAGGACGCAAATATGGCATGGAGTTCAACTGGGACAAGACTCTGCAGATGCCAGTGGCGTCAGACAGCGTGGTAACGAGGCCGACCGGGGAGCCCACCACAAGAGTTACAGAAGCAGTCTACTTGGGAGGCTTGATCACACACGATGGGCGAGTGGGAAATGGACTGAACCGACGACTGGGCGAAGGGAAAGGTGTATTCCAACAGCTGTGCAAGATTTGGAAGCATGCTGCAATCAGCAGGACAAGGAAGTTGCAAATTTACACCAGCTGCGTGTTGAGCAAGGCCCTCTACTCCTTGGAGTTTTTTGTGGCTGCTAAAAGTTGATAGAGCAAGGCTGGACGTTTTTCATTGCAGGTGCTTGCGGAAGATCTTAGGCATACTTCATCCTTACACTTCGACAGTTTCGAATGCGTCCGTTCTGACGCGTGCCGGATCCAAGCCGCTTTCTGCAGTATTATGCGATCGCCAATGTATTTTGTATAGGAAACTTATTGTACAAGTAAACGATGATTTGGCGAAGCGGGTGGTGCGCTGTGGAAGGAACCCGTGTAATACCCTCATATATACTCCTTATCCTTACCTCTCCCGCACCTGGCCGTTTGGGCTCAGGTATTGAGTTGGAGCGATCGCACCTTGATCGCGTGGGAGGGAAAGATATCCATCTATCCCTCCTTCTCTCTACCAACGGACCAGGGGTTCTGTGCCCTTGTACTTCAACCCCATACACAGGTTATCAGCCCTTTAAAGCTCACCCTCACCGAATCGACCGCGGTGACCTTGCATGCGCGCCTGATGGAGCCACTTCGGCGCATGCGCCGTAAGGGTTCCATTGGGGCTTCGCGTCCAAGCTCTCCCACGGTGCGACGGCTCGGTGACGAGTTGGAGAGCATTAATGCGGACTGTGTTGGTGTCCCCGATACCCCCCCAGCTCCCGAGGACCCGAGGCGCGTCTAGCTGCTGAACTTCGCCGCAGCGCCGCCCGCGGGGGGACAGGAGAAGGAGCAGGAACAGGAAGGAAGGAGTTTCACACGCCGACCTTCGATCCTCCCTCCCCTTCCCCGTCGGGAGCAATCCCAACCGCGTCAGGCGAAAGCCTTGCCGGTCTCGATACTCCAGGGCGCTTTCGCGCTAACCGCCGATGGACCTCAGGTGCTGGGACCCCCAGCCCTGCGACCGCCCCTGTGGCGGAGCACGTAGCTACCTTCGAGGAACTTAGTAGACCAGTGTCGGCACAGCCACAGACGCGGTACCCCAAGGTATCATCGGATGAGACACCACACACACATGGTCCGAGTCGCAGCTCGTCCGCGCGCAACCGCCGTGGAGCCCCAGGCCCATGCGGCGAAAGCAGGTCGAGCCCGCGCACTGCCTCTCAGAGGCCATGCACTCCCCGCGACAGGGGACACAGGGAAGCTGACGCTCCCCACCTCTCCATCTCAGACGACCAGCCGGCGGAGACGTCCGCCGCAGGTGACATAGCTGAGCTCAGAGACCAGGTTGAAACCTTCGTGCCCAGCCAATACTCTGGACTACTACAGAGCGTTCAGACGAACGCCACTGATACTGCAGCCATACGTCGCGATCTTGACGGCGCCTTAGGGATCATCGATTCCAGGATCGCCGAAGATAGACGCA